TCTCGTGCAGGGGTGGGACACGCTCTCACCCTGCTCCTTTACAGCCTGGGACATGCCCCAGTGATTTACAGGCACCAAGAGGGCCCACGGGGCTCTCAGGGATTGCTTAACACAGGATGGAGGAGATCAAATGGAAGTGGGTGCGTGGTGTGTGACCCACTCCAGCCAGCCAGGGCTGCTGAACCCTCCTCTGGCTCCTTTCACAAGGCTTTGAAATGGGGAAATGTAGCTTCAGATGATTGATTTGCCAGGGGCACTGGGGAGGGCAGGGGAGTATTTATGGGCTGAAGGAAACCCACAAGGTGTGTCCAGGAGTGCTGCTCAGGTGGGGAGGGGGAATGTGATCCATGTCACCCCCTCCAGAGCCCCCAAAGCATTCCCTGCTCCCATCAGGGCATGGAATTCACCCTGTAAGCACAGGCAGGAGCTGCCTGGCAGCTCTCTGCAGGTGTCTGGGGGCAGAGGAGCTGTGGGGTCACCCACAGGGGATCCCCCTGCTCACTCCAGGATGCTCAGCACATCTGGAGCACCCTGCCACGAGGGGGGACTGAGGTACCAACACCAGCAACTGCTGCTTGCTAAAGCAGAGCTCAAAAAACCCCAATCACCAATTATTTTAATCACTGAAGGTGGTTTTCTGCTCCTCAGGGCATCCAGAGCTCTGGAAGCACAGTGCTCCCCAGGGAGACAGAGAGAGGAGGCTCAGAGCTGGAGATATTAATGCAGATAAGAGCCACGGGCTGAGAAGCTGGGAAAGAGCAGCTCCCAGCCCCGGATGTTCCCATGGATCTGCCCTGCTCGGGTTTCTGCAGCAATGGCCCCGAGCCAGGGCTTGCTTGGAAAAGCAGAGGAAGTCTGCAGCGAGGGGAGAGGGAAATTCCTTGAAACGCTGTCTGTGGGGATGGAGCTGCAGCTGCAGGGAATTCCTTCCCTGGAAGCTCAGCCTGTCCCCTGACGGCCTCAGGCTGGCAGTGGTGGCACGCTGTGACCCCCCAGCCCCCAGCTCTGGGCACAGGTGAAGCCTCTGTCTGTGCTTGCTCCAGGGGCAGTTTCCTTCAGGAGCTGCTCTGGGAACCAGGGCAGAAGGAGAAGGCAGAAAGCAGCTGGGTCACTGAGGGAAATGGGGTTTTTAACAGTGCTACAAACAGGGTCAGAGCCCAGAAATGCAGCTGGGTACCCCCAGGAACAGCCACAGGGGGACAGGAGGGATCACCAGGCTGGGAGCCAGGCAGGACCAGGAACCAGCCCCTGGGGTGCTGCCTGATGAAGGTTGTCTCCTCCTGAGGAGAACCTGTGGGGCAGAGCCCCTGGTGTGGTATCAGCTGCTGGGGATGGTCCCTGGGGCTGCAGAACCCACAAAGGAGCTGGGCACAGCTCTCACCCTGCACACACCACACACCCAAAGCAGCAGCTTGGACCACCAGCACCAAACATGAAGGCAGTTCATAGCTGGGAAAATCAGGAACTTACAAAAGGAGGAAAATAATAAACTTTATAAAAAGAAACTCCTCTAAAATAGCATTGTGTGCCTGTGCTAACCCCCAGGAAGCACAGGCTGAGGGATCCAACCTTGCTCCTCAAGGGACTGAGAGCACCACTTGCTATCCATTTTCCAGCTGGCTGCTCCTTTTTAGGAATTGTTTTTTGTGCTCCCAGGGAGCACGGATCTGAGCTGGCTGCACATCAGCACCCTGAGCCCCACGGGCTGGGCTCCAGTGGGAGCTCCCTGCTGGAATGGGGGCATTTCCCTCGTGGGTGGGGAGGGGAAACAGGGGCTGCAGTCTGGTTTGACCCAACAGACCCGGGGTTTGGCACACGAGCAGCCACGAGGAGGTGGCACTAGGGTGATTTGGGAGGCCCTGTGCCCACAGCAGCAAGGATGGGGCACCCCAAAGGGATGCTGTGTGCAGGGGCTGAGCCCCTGGCTCTCCCTGCCAGGGCACGGGGACACCTCAGTGAAAACAACAGCCCAGAGCAAGAAGTGCAGGGGGTTTTGTTTCCCTTTTTGAAGGGCAGGAGAATTTCTGGCAGCCCTGGGTGGAGGAACTTGTGCACAGCCAGGCTGATTCCCAGAAATGGCCCAGCCCTGACTCTGGTGACTGGCAAGGCAATAGAACGAAGCTCCTGTGTCCTCAAGGACATTTGGTCACACTCCTTCAATGAGGCATTCAGCACTGTGAAGTTTAACATCCAACACAGCCCTGAGAGCCCAGGCTCCTCTGCCAAAGCTGCAGAGCCTCTGATCCCTGCCACAAAAACACACCCAGCACGGGACCCAGCACATTCCCAGGAGGGGAGGGGGCACCCAGGGCAGGGCTCACCCCGGGGACAACGCTGGGGTCACCCCTGGGCTGTGCTGGCAGGGGAGGGGTCCCTGCAGCGCTGGGCACCTCCTGGGGACAGCAGAGCCTGCACAGAGCTGGGCAGGGCACTGCCAGCACCCCCAGCTCTGTGCCACGCTGGGAAGGAGCTTAAAGAACCAGCAGAGAGCCCCTCAGAGAGCCTGGGGGCAGGGCCAGGGCTGAGCCCCACGCTGCACACAGGAGGTGATGGGTGTAAGCTGAATCCTGCACCACAGAGCCCTGGCCAAGGGTTAAACCCAACCAGCCCAGGGGCACAGCAAACCCTGCAGTGCCCAGGCACAGCCCAGGCTCTCCTCCAAACCCACATGAGCTGCCTGGCTTCCCTCCAGCAGCTTTGTTCCAGACAGAGAGGTTCATTGTGCCAAGCACAAGAGAAACCAGGTACCACGAGTCACTTCATCTGCTCCAGGCAGCTCTTGCCTGGGCTTTGGGTCCTGCAGTCCCACAGAGCTGGGTACCCTACAGCTGCCAGGAGGGAAAACACTTCCCATCAAACCCACCATACCAGCCCTACAACTGCAACAGCTCCACGCTCTCTGGTTGGTTGGTTTTTGGGGTTTTTTTTAAGCAAGAAGAGTCCGAGCTCTGCCCCGAGAGACACATCTGCCCACAACCACCCCAGTGCCAGCCCCACTCACCACCCTGCACTGCTGGAGGAGCTTTGTGTGCAGGAGAGCAGAGGCACAGCCCAGGAGCAGAGCTGGCTGCCATGAGGGGCAGCAGAGCAAGCAGAGAGCACAGCAGAGGCTGGCTGGAGCTCGTGGGGAGCAGCAGAACAGGCACACACCACAGCAGAAGCTGGCTGGAGCTCGTGGGGAACAGCAGAACAGGCACACACCACAGCAGAAGCTGGCTGGAGCTCACAGCAGAGCTCTCTGTGCCCAGCAGGGTTTTAACCCAGCACAGCTACCAGTGAGCACCTGGCAGCGATGGGGCACAGGTGAAGGGGGTAACACAGAGATTGTTCCTGCTCTAGCAGGCTCTGCACTGTCCCTGCAGCCCCCGGGCATGGCCAGGCTGGGGGTGCTTCAGGAAAGGTGGGAGTGGGACATGGGAATTCCCAGGGAAGGGGGAATCCTCCGTGCTGCGTTTATAAAAGCACCCCAGCCCCAGTGGGGATGGGGAGGGCTGTGTTGTCTCTTTCCTCTCTTCCAGAGGAGCCTCTGCCACATGCTGGGGGAAGTGGACCCCAAGGCCTGACAGTTCCCCCTGGTGATGGATGCTGCAGGATGGAGATGACCCGTTCATTTCCCATGGCTGTGCCAGGCCGGGTGAAAGGCGGCTCCCACAGTAAATCGAGATTGTTGCGACGAGAACTGAGCCTGTGGGGGCCAGTTAAAATCCTCGGGAGAGGGTGAAGGGTTCCAGCCCGGCCTGGCACAGGGAGGGAGGGTGCAGCACCAGGGGCAGCCCTGAACGAACGGGGGCATTGGCAAGGGACAGTGACTCAGGGCCAGGGACAGGCTCGGTGCTGTGAGGAGCGTTCTAAAACGAGCTGGAAAATTCACAAGCAGCCAACAAGGTGACTGAAGTACAGGAGGAAAACAACCGGAGTGCTGTGTGCCAATGGACAGACACACGGTGGGGTTTGGGACAGGGGTCAGTGCCGAGGGTCTCTGACTGTGCCCGGGGTCCTCTGTCCCCCAGGATCAGACCCCCTTGACCCCCAAGGATCAGATCCTCTATCCCCCAGGATCAGAATGTCTGTCCCCCCTGTGTCCAGGTCCCTCTATCCCCCAGGATCAGAACCCGTGTCCCCAAAGGATCAGACCCTGGGTCCCCCAGGATGAGACCCTCTGTCCCCCAGGATCACATCCCTGTCCCTCCCTGACTCCCAGGATCACACCCCCTGTCCCCTCTGTCCCCCATGATCTGACCCTCTGTCCCCCAGGATCAAATCTTCTGTCCCCACCTTGTTCGGATCCCCTTGTCCCCCAGGACCAGACCCTCCGTTCCCGGGTCTCTCTGTCCCCCAGGATCAGACCACTGTCCCCTCTGTCCTCCCTGTCTCCCATCTTCTGTCTCCTGTCCCCCCTGTCCCATCCCCGGTCCCCATTCCCTGTCCCCTCTGTCCCCCTGTCCCATCCCCGCTCCCGCAGCCCCGCAGCGCCCTCCGGCGGTCCCGGGCAGCGCTGCAGCGCCGCGATCCCCGCGCCGCAGGACGGGAGCGCTCTCGCACCGCCCGCTGCTGCAAAACCACCCCAAAAACCACCAAAACCCGCCCGGCAGGGCTGGGACACAGCAAGGAATGCACTGGCCAGAATGGGGTTTAGGTCCTGTGCTCTTCCTGCCCAGTGAGAGGAACGGAGGTTTCAAAGTGTTGTTACCCAACTAGAAAGTCACAGGGCTGTCCCGGAGGTTTCCAGAGCCCATGAGCATCCATGTCACACACAGTGCTACAAGGCCTCTGCTCCAAGCCAGAGCAGAGATTCCCCACCTCTGTCTCATCCTTGTCAGATCCTCCAGCACTGGCCCCTTTGGTTTTCCCAAACTCCAAACAAGGCAGGTGTAGTAGACAACTACAGGCCAGTCATTTTCCAAAAATATTCCTGGGCTTTGGGGTTCCTTCCCACGTAAGTGTGGCCCAAGACCACCCATCCCCAGGTAACATCCAGCCCCAGGACAGCCAACACAGCATTTCAGAAATCTGCAATACTTTAATCAAACCCTACTTAAGGCCATTGTTGCTTTCATGATTGCACATATTCCTGCTTCTCAAAAGCACAAGTATCTTCATGAACACGCCGAGGACAGGGCCAAGCCTCCCCCTTCCTGTGAGCAGTGTGAGCAGTGCCCATGGCCACAGGAGCTGATCCCAGATGGCTGAGCAGGCAGCAGGGACAACTGCCAGGAGCTGAGTGACAGCTCAGAGGTGCCACGAGCCCTGCCAAGGCTCATCTCACACAGCCAGGAGAGGTTAAGTGACAGGGCAGAGAGCTGGAATGGCCGTGGAGCACAAGGTCATGGCACAGGACTGGGGCTCTCAGAGTCACCACTACCCTGCAACACGTGCCAAGGCTGTGGGAACAGACAGCACTGGAGTGACAGCACCCAGAAATGATTTGCTGCAGAGTCCAGGTACATCAAGTGGCAATAAAAGTGTGAGTGGCTCCAGGACAGTAGCGTGCCCCATTTGGTGAGATGAACAGTGGCTTTTAAAGAGATCACTAAATCCCATCAGTGCTACCTGTACAAACCTCATTTATTTTAAAGGCTGCCATTAAAGTGCCTTTTATCCCTAGCAATAGGCAGTTTTAAATTGCAAATAACTTCTCAGATCAGTCAGCAACCATCTTCATTCCACCGGAGAGAGGGGCAGTGGCTCAGGCTGGCCCTTGGGGACAAAAGGGTTCTTGAACGTGGTGTTGAGGCTTCTGGATGAGCAGGAATGCTGAGCAGCAGGACTATCCCACGGCTTCCCTGTGCTGGGCAGGATCTCTGCTGAGCTGTCCAGGACTCCACCTTCCAGAGGGCTCTGGGGATCCGAAGCAGTGTCACCTGCAGCCTGGCTGTGTCCCAGTTGGGAGGGTGTCCCATGGGAAGTGTGTCCCACTGGGAAGCCATCTCAGTGGGAGGGTATCCCAAATGGGAAGTGTATCCCAGTGGGGAGCTGTCCCAGTGGGAAGCATGTCCCAGTGGGATCCCTGTCCCAGTGGGGAGCTGTCCCACCAGGAGGGTGTCCCAGTGGGATCCGTGTCCCAGTGGGATCCCTGTCCCAGTGGGATCCATGTCTCAGCAGGATCCCTGTCTCACTGGAGGCTGTCCCAGGGTGGCTCAGGCCTCAGGTCCCTGCTGGCTGGGGCTGTGGCAGTCCTGCAGGAGCGGCGTGGTCTCAGAGGAGGGGGTGGCTGTGCTCGGCGTGCCGGGGCCATGGGGGCTCTTCTGGGCGCTGCTTCTCTGCAGGGGAGGGACAGAGGTCACAGCCCAGCCACACCCAGCAGTGCCACCGCGTCCCCACCCTGGCCATGCACTCCCCAAGCCTCTTGCAGTGGCCAAGGACCCATTTCTTACACTGAACATTTTTGTGCCTCCTCTCTGTAGCTCCTGCCTTACCAACACGAGGTTATTCCCATTCCTGCCCACCTGTGACACCACCCGAGCACCCAGAGCTGTGGGACAGTCATCCAAGATGGAAGGGACAGGGCCAGAAGAGCCTGGAGAGCCCCAGGCACGAGCTGCAGCACACACAGGCAGCACGTCTTCCTGGGATAATGAAGGTGCAGCCTCTGGGAAAGGTGGTGCCTTCTGGCACCAAGATGGCTCCTCCTCACCTAAACACACCTACAGAACAGGTTCACCACCCTCAGGGCTGAGCAGGAGCCAGCTACACCTTCCAAGAGCCCACGTGGGCCCTGATCCTAAATCACAGGGTTCCTGACCCTAATTAGTGCAAGAGCCTCAGGAGGAAGCAGCAGGTGACAGCAGTGGGTCACTTCCTGCTGCTGGGGACAGGGACACCAACCTGGCCCTCACCCAGAGCCTTCTGCTGGCTGGGGACATGGACTGGGAGGTTTGTCCAACCCTTTGACTATTGCCCATTGCTGCTCCAGTGACAGCACCAGGAACACCCAGGGACTCTTTGGGCATGGTGGTGTTTGGCTGATGTTTGGATTTGAGGATCTTGGAGGAATTTTCAACCTTAATGAGGCTATGAGTGTAAAAGTGTCTACAGACCTCTGGTGAGGGGATGCAGTAAGGGCAAAAAGGATGCTTAATATTCAAGAGTCACTGCCTCGAAGTTCAAGAATGCTCCACCCTAACAAGCATCCCGAGCCAGGAAAAAATGCCAGCAGGGCAACATGGATGAACCAGGAGCTCCAAACACAACTGCAGAAAGGAGACACGTGGAAGGTGGGAGCAGGGACAGGTAACCTGGCAGGAACCCAGGGAAACTCCCAGCATGCAGGGATGAAGAGAGGAAAGCCAAAACCCAACTGGAACTGAATCCAAGGATGTCAGAGACAAGAAAGGCTTCTCTAAGTACCCAGGTGACAAAGGAAAGAGGAGGAACCATGAGGGCCTGGGGCTGAATGAGGCAGGGGACCCCAGAAACCAGGGGAAAGTCCAGAGCAAGGAAGATGCACCCTTGGTGGAAGAGGATGAGGTCAGAGAGCACTCAAGGAACCTAGACATGCACAAATCCATGGACCAAGATGGGATGAGTGGGCTCATGCACAGCAAGGCCACTCCCTGCTGTCTTTGACCAGTCCTGGCTCAAAGACTGAAGGAAAGCAGATCTTGAAAAAGACCAGGAAGGAAGATCTCAGGAGCTAGAGACCAGCCAGCCTCCCTTCACCCTCCAGAAAGTGATGCAGCAGCTGATGCGAGGAACCACTCCCAGGCACAATTCAATCACCAACTGCAGTCCCTGGGCTTCACCAAGGGAAAACTCTGCTTGATCCCCTGTGATGGAATGACTGGCTTGGCAGACCAGGGGGAACAGTGGATGTTGTCCACTTGGACTCCAAGCTTTTGACACCATCTCCCATAAACACCTCCTGGGGAAGCTGATGAAGCAGGGATTGGATGAGCAGGCAGTGAGTGGACTGAAAACTGGCTGAGCAGCCAGGCCCAGAGAGTTGAGTTGGAGGCCAGTAACCATCAGTGTACACCAGGGGTCAGTTCTGGGTCCAGGCCTGTTTAATATCTTTATTAATGATCTGCAAAACCTGGGGGGGTGGCTGGTACACCAGAGGGACCTCAGCAGGCTGAGAAAGGGACTGGAAGGACCCTCATGAAGTTCAACAAGAGGATGTACAAGGTCTTTCACTTAGGATGAACAGCCCCTCACAGCAGTACCCCCTAAAGGTCACCAGCTCTGCAGCAGTGTGGCAGAAAAGGACCTGAGGGTGTTGGGGACAGCAGCTGAGGGTGAGCCAGCAGCGTGGCTGGGCAGCAGAGGCAGCCAGCTGAGTCCTGGGCTGCACTGGGAGCGTTGCCAGCAGCTCCTGGAGTGATCCTTGCCCCCTGCTCATCACTGTGAGGCCACACACGGAGCACCGTGGTCAGTTCTGGGCTTCCCAGCACAAGAGAGAGATGGAGCTGCTGGGAGGAGCCCAGCAAAGGAGCACTGAAGAGATTTTGGGACTGGAGTCTCTTAAGGGAGCAGAGGCTGAGAGAACTGGGCCTGTCCAGCCCCGAGAAGAGAATGCTCAGGGGGATCTCACCACTGAAAACAAGGCTCTGAGGGAGGGTGTAAGTACAGAGCCAGGCTCTTGTTGGTGGTGTCCAGGGACAGGACAAGAGCAAAGGGACACTTTTACACTTAAAGGGGATTCCATCTGGATATTAAGAAATACTTTTTTTTTCCTTTTTTTTTTTTTTTTTTTTGTGAAAACTGTAAAAACGGGAACAGGTTGCCCTGGGGAATCTCCACTCCTGAAGACATTAAGAGACATCTGGACATGGTGCTGAGCTAGGTGACTCTGCCTGAGCAGAGGGATTGGGATAGATGACCTCCAGAGGTCCCTTCAACCTCAACGACTCAGGGATTTTGTGCTCCTGTAATACAAACCCAGACATTTTATACATCAGAAATTCCCTCCTGGAAGCCTCTCTGTTGAGGGGAGGGGTGACACCCACCAGTGGACTGAGCACTGTTACCCCATTCAAAAAACTTACCTCTGGAACTCAAACACTCAGAGATGGGGGGAAAACAGGCAAGAAAAGTATTTCCTCACACCAATGCCACTTTTTCCCTGATTCCTGCTGACATTATTAGGGCTGCAGATCAGGTACACCAGGAGAAACAATAACAGCATGTGCTTGCAACCTGGTTAAGTGCCAGTATTAAGACATCTAAATTGCCCCAAATAAAGCCACGAGACAACACTGCTCCATCAAAGCTCGCCAGGAGGGCATGGCTGGGAGATGTGGACAGCAAAGGTTTCATTTGATTGGTTTTAAGTGAAGTTTAATCAAATCAGGATGAAGAAAAGCGTGTTACCTTGACTGGGTACCCACCTACAGTCTGGCTTCCTGCAACACCGTCCCCTTAACCGCAGGCAGCTTTTTGGCAGAGGTGGCCTGGTTTGCCTTATTACTGTCTGAGCTCTTTTTATTGCTACTCCAAAATAAAGAGCATTTCTCCTAGAAGACAATCAGTCTGGTTTATGGTGCACTCTGACACGGATTTCATCAGGGTTCCAATTTTCGGAGCAGATTTGAGAAATCACTGTTTAACTAGAATCTAGTTATTAATGAAGATTTTGAAATTTAGATTAAGCTCAGTCCTATTTGAGATTTTGTTCAGTGTCAAGCCAGTTTTAAAATGGTCTGTTTGCCTTTGGAAAGTGTCACCACACATTATGCCACAATGGCAGAGAGCTCCAGCATCTGGGGGTATTTTACACCTGCACAGATTATGGTTTTTTTAGAGCTGTGAGTCCAACAGATGCATTTCAAACTGGCTCCACTATAAACTAGACTAAGATTTAAGTGTTTTAAGTATCTCATCTGCGCTGGCCTCAGAGCACACTGCTCCCTCCAGAAGCCAGAGGCACACAAGACACCCGAGGGAGGAGCTGGGCTCAGGGAGCCCTGCACGCTGGCAGACACGTGAAGGTGAGGACAATGTCCCCGCTCAGTGTCCCCTCTGACATGCCTGTGCCTTCGGGAGGCAGAGCTGTGCACGATTAAGCAATCAGAGCTAGATCAGCAACACTTCAATCAAATGAGGAACACACCTTGGCTGCAAATCGCTGGCTTCCAGTTTACAACCTCTTATCTGCTCATTAGGTGGAGTTGTTGTGCAGCTTTCTTAGAGATTTGTGAAGTCATTGAGGTTTTTTAGTCACTTTCCAGGTAGCCAGGCACTTCCTGACGTTGATTTTTAGTTCTAACGCTTTGTGACTCTCTTGGCTGAGCACAGAAACACAGCTGGCTTTTGCCTGGGTTTGGGATGTTTCACAAGCAGATATTCTACTGGCTTCGATGAGTTTAAAATCCAGCTTTTCTCCCTGACCCTTTCCAGCATGGTTAAATCTCTTTGATACCAGGAATTAAGACTTGCACAAAGCAGGGTGAGGAAATGCCAGCTCAGGGCTGCATAAGGCGTTAGAAGCAGCTGCCCAGCCCTTTTTCAGAGCCCCAGGGCTCATGCAGCACAGTGCAGCCTGTCTGCCAGCCAGCAACCACTCACATGTGCTGAAGGGGAGCAGGTCACCCCAGGACCATCCTGGGAGCACAGTGAGGGCTTGGTGGTGAGCTCTGGGCTCCATGCTGGGCCCTAGCATCACTCCCACCCTGCAGGGAAGTGTGTGGAGGAACAAGGGGATTTGGGATCATGTGTTTAAGTCACTTAAGTAATTGCAGACTTGATTAAAATCCAATTACGTGGTACTCCGAGAGCCCTGGCACTGTTCAAGGTGGGTTTGCATCAGTTCCAGGGAGGGCAGGAAGCAGGTGGGCAAGGGCAGCTCCTCACAGGCTCCCCCTCAGCCTGCTCTCATCCCAAGAACTGCCTCTCCACCTCTGCAGCTTTAGAGGCAGCCTAAGGCACCTGACTGCAGGGCAGAGCTAAATCAGCTTCCTTTGGTACAGGCTTGGGGTAGGAAGTCAGATCCCTACTCCCAGAACTAAAGCTGGCAGGGAGCTTAGTGTTGCCAGATCACTGTGGAGCCAGAGCCACAGAGCTGCACTGAGTGGTTTGGCTGTTTCACACTCAGCCCTGACAGCCCAGCTCAGCCTCACCCCACTGCCTGCCCCACTGCCCAGCTGCCAGCAGGCTTCAAAGGTCTTCACTTCTCAGCAAGCCCAGATCCACAAAGGCTCTGAGGGTTTCACTTCCTGAGGGTTTCACTTCCAGAGCTCTTTGGAGCAGTCTGCACAGCAAGGGCGTTTCAAGGAAATGCAGAATGTGTGCTGGGCTGAAAGGCAGCCACAGTGGCTGTGTCTCCTCTGCAAGAACACAGCAACTGCATTTCCCTCAGCAGGCTGTGTTCAGATAGCTCCATCCTCTGGAGAAGGCTCTGCTCTGACTGGAAAAATGCTGGGACCCTGCAAAGATGCAGATCTGTGCAAGAGCACAGACCTGCTGCTGCCTTCTGTGGAGGCTGGGCTGATAAACTAGGATTGTTTCTTCATTAGCTGGGTGAGCTGAGAAATACCTGCTCCTCCAGGAAGCCACTTCCATCACTGCTGAAATGCTTCATGTTATCTATTTGCAGCCCAGTTTCTAGATGGCTGAGGAAGCCCTGCTGCTATCTGCTGGCACCTGGCACCACTAGGAGATTGCTGGTGGCGTCAGCCAGTGTTTCCTCAGACAGGTTAGATTGGCAGCCCAAACTACAGCCTCTGATTGAGTGTGATTTGACTGACAGCACTTCCCAGCAGGCAGCTGCAGGTTCTTACCTTCCTCATTGCCATGAGGACAGCTGCTGAGACAATGAGTGGGACACTGAGGCCAAGCAGGATGTACTGCAGGTAGTCCAGCACCGAGGGGAGCAGCACCAGGTTGGTGTAGAACTGCTTCAGCACTGAGCCCTCGATGGATCCACTCTGCTCAAAAAAGCAGATTGTCAGTGGCATCTCCCTCCCTTCCAGGGCTGAGACAAACCAGCTGCATGATTCCTTTCCCACCACCTCCCAGCATAAATTAGGGGATTTATGCAAGATTCAGTCAGGTTAAGAGCTTTTACTGAATAGCAGGACGTGCACCCAGAGCTGGAGCTGCACTCCCTGGCCCACAGGAGGACAGGGATGCTGGCAGCTCTGTCCAGGGCCCCACTTAACCCCACATCCAGGGCAGAGCCAGAGATTTACCAAGTATAGTGCAGGGTTTGTTCAGCTCAGAGGGATTAATGGCATAGCCAAGTATTGAAAAGCCGTCTGTTGGTGCTTAATTAGTCTGGCTGGCTTAGAGCTTTATCCAAAGTGGAGTTTCCCCAGCACGGGGTGATGGGGAAGCAGGGGAGGCTCTGCAGAATCAGGCTGAGGAAGGCAGCTCACCTCTGCAAACCACAGCAGCGGCAGGACCACGGGCTTAATCTGCCCCGTTTGACTGGGGGGGAGAAAATTCAAAAAGAAACACAAGCTTAGGTTTATGGCTGATCAGGTCACAATTAGCAGCACAATTCTTCCTAAGGGGACAGGTCTGACAGACTGACAGTGGCCAGGAAGCCATAAGGAGGTGGCAATCCCTGCTGCTCCAGTGAGCTGCTCCCACCTTGGGGGACCAGGTGCTTTATGCTTATGCTTCCATGGGTTTAGCTGCCCAAGGACAGCAGGAAGTGCCATCCCACACCTGGGCTCCAGGGAGATGAACTCAGTGAAGCAGAAGGCTGAAGTTCCTGTCTCAGTCACCTGGGTGGCACCATGGGGGCTCTCTGCAGGTGTTTTCCCCCCAGCCCAAGCAGCAAGAGCACACCCCTTCCCTTGCTGGTATTTAACATCTGGCACCACACAGTTTGGTTACAGAGACCTCCTGTTTGCTTTCATAGAGCTGGAAGTGTCATTTGGACACAGGCTTCACTGTCTGCCCCACAGGCAGAGTGGGTTTTGCCTCTCTGTGTTGCAGGTAACTCCTGAGAGGCAGCACAGTGGAGGTGAACAGCTCCTGCCCCAGCAGGAGGAACATGCCAGCTGTCTGGTGAGGGACAGGGACACTGCCCCAGCTGAGCAAACAGGCACTCTGCACTGCTAAAGGATGGGACTTGTGGTCACTGGAATGGCTGATGTTTGATGGCTCCAGCAATAGGACAACTGCTCATGATAAAGCTTTGGAGAGAGTAAACTCTGCAGCAAGCTCAGCAGCAGCACAACTCCCTGCTCAGGGAAGGCAGATGGACATTTCCAGGAGGTGAGCACTTACATGATACCAGACACGTGCTTTATGTACAGGTTCAGCTGCAGCTTGATGGAGCAGTTCATGGGGATGCCAGTCATCTGCAGAGGAAGAGAACAACCAGTTCATCAGTGACTTCTTGGGACCAACAGACCCTCTCCAACATTCTGAGCCCATGGAAAACATCACACTTCAAAGCTGGTCATGTTGACACCCATTAAGACATTGGTTCCTCATGACTCTGCAGTTTTGCAACACATTTTTACAAGCAGAGAATTTTTCTTGGACTACCCCTGTCCCTGTTTGTAGTCAGCAGCCTGCAGCTAGATAAAAATGCAGTTAACTGTACTTTTATCGGTAGATGTTTGATACTGTAATAAACTTAATTAGATTTTCATAACTGTGATAAGAAAAGCAGTCAGAACCCAACGTCTAGATAAGACACACAGTTTACCTTACCTCAAGAGGGAAACAGGTTTTTGTTTTTGCTTGAGCAAATATCACTGAACATTTAGAAAAACTGACCTCGGACAGTGCAGGCTGTGGGTGGAAAATCCCAAAGTCCCTTTGCCATCAGCAGCTGGGACAGGGATACCTCAGGACACCCCCTGGAGTGGTGACTTCACCCTCACTGTGGCTACAGGAGGGGTGTAACACAGCAGCAGCCAAAAACCACTGAAAAAGCAGCCAGTTCCAGATGGGCAGGTTGAGAGAGTGGAAGAAGCCAGCCCAAAAATGGAGGTGCCAGCTTGAGCCACAGCGTGGTCTTCAGACTCTGCCAGGCAGTTCTCATGGCAGTGTGCACTGGCAGATTTGGGGCAGAGCTGGGCTTCTGCCAGATACACCTCCTGGTGTTATAGGCCTGAGTCAGTGGAAAGAGTTTCACTGTGCTTATCGAAACAATTATGTTTATAATTAGTTCTGCAATTCTCTAGAAGCTAGGCTAATTATTCAATTAGTTTATGGCTTTGACATTTTTATCTGCACGCCCTCGCCAGTCTTTGCACTATGGAACCTGCTCGGATCAGTGCCACGAGAGCAGAGTGGTGCCACCACTCAGCAGATGGCAGGGTCCCTGGGGTGAGGGGGGACCTGGTGGGCTCACTCACGGGGTGCACATCCAGGAAAAGCCCGTGCTGGTCCTTGCTGGGGTGCAGGCCTTCCACTGCATTCACCAGGGATGGGTCAGCGTTGTAGAAGTGAGGGTGGGAAATGAACATCGGCGCATCTGCATGAGATTAAAGGCATCTTAAGCTGCTCCACACCCACCTAAAAGCTTTTTTTGAGGTTTTTAAGCCCTTGCAGTACTTGTTCTGAACAGCCTTTTATATTTTCTCCTCCCAGCCAGCAATCACCTTCCCCTCCCTCCCTGCAGTTTGTTCCATCGATCTGGGAGGGTTCAGGACCCCCACTCTCTCCCACCACCAAGCCATGGTAACTCCCTGTTCCCAGACTCCAGTTAGGGCACCCAGTCTGGACTGTCAGACACACACTCAGTCCAAAGTTAACATTTAATTCGGGAGCTGTGTGGGCTGCCTCTTCCTTGTTCCCCCCAGCAGCCCAGGGGATGTAATGCTCCCACTGTACCCTTGGGCATTCCCACAAATGCCAGGCTGTCACAGGGCTGGGCACTGAAGGCTAGGCACTGAAAGGGTTTTCCCTCTTTCCCTCACTGCTGAGTGGCCGGTGGGAGTGCAAACAAAGCCCACCAGTACTTCTCCCCGTCCCAGCAGGCACTAGAGCTGTTTTTCCAGACAATCAAGCTTCTATTGCACCTCAAATTTAATACTGGTCCACTAAGGAGAGCCAGGGGGGAAAGGACTTACTGAGCCTACAGGTGCTGACGTTCTGGATGCCAGACTGCATGCAGGGGCAGAAGCCCTCGTTGGGTGGATAGTCTGTGCCGTTGGCAAAGAGGGTTTTGGGTGCCACGAAGCGATAGGTGGGCACACCCTGGAAGTTCCCAGACTGCTCATACACCAGTGTCAGGGATCTGCAAGGGGTTCAGAGCAGAAGGATCAGGATTAGCCAACAGGCTCCCAGAACAGAAGTGGGTTCTTATCTTGGCTGGATAAGATGCAGTTGCAATGTAACTTAGACTTTGAGATCAAGATAAACCCTCAGCAGTGCTTCGGGGAATGGGGAATGAGTATTTAAGCCTTTTGCTTTCCATGTTTTAAGCACATCTAAAGGGTTGGTCAGGACTAGTTAGGGAGAGAAACCACAGGCTTATGAGTCTGTTTGCTAACGCAGGTGAGATTTGTTTAAAGGCATGCAGTAATCCCCAGGGCTGCTCTCCAAGAGATAATACCCACTTTATGCAAGCCTTGGCTCCCAGGTGCTCCGTTACAGGGCAGGGACACTGGATAAATTCTCCAGCAACAGACTGCCAGGGGAATGGAAAATTTCCCCATGTAACACAGCAAGATTTTTTTCCCTGCTACTAGAGGCTGTTGATACTGTGCTGCATTATCGTTGGCCAGGTTTGATGCAAGTCTCCAGGACAAAAACTTGCCCCCTTCACACCTGAGTGAGGCTTGCAGGGATCAGAGAATCACAGAATGGGTGAGTAGGTCACAGTGGGCTGCCAGGACAGCCTGGGCAGGCCCAGGGGATGCTCATTCCTACAGAGGATGGTCCCTTTGGTGCTGGGAACAAGGATGAGGGATTCAGGGCATGTTCAGCTGTTCTTGGCTCTGCTCACCTCCCAGCAGGGAGGTTGCTGTAGCCCCTCAGCAGGACAAAACCTTGGTGGCTGCCTCTCACCATCAGCTCACTTCACATGCACAGAGATCCCTGCAGAGGCAGGTATGCTCTGAGCCCACCAAGAGATGTTTGTGACTGTGCCAACAGAGGCTGAGGCAGAGGGCTGGGGAGATGACACAGCACTGTCTGAGAAGCTGAGCCACTTCCCCACAGCTCTGTGTGACAGGAACTTCCCATGCCAACAAGAAACCAAGCTTGGTTTCCTCCACTTCACTGGAAGCCTTGCCTGGAAGCATGCTCTGTTCCTGAGGTTCCACAGTTTGACAGGAACAGTGTTCAAACTTCAGTTACAGGTAAACTTCCCTGTAAATTCCTAGCTGCAGGTCATTCTGGTGCTTGCTGATGTCCCTTGTGCAGAGGAATCCCTGTGCTATTGCTCAGCTCAGCTGTCTGTTTGTTCACTGCTCATTGTTCTCTATCCAGCATGAGCACTTGCTTGTTTTGCAGCACTATCTACAAAGCTGGAATTATCATTATCTTCCCCAGGCTAGGGACAGGGGTTTTGTGCCTGCTTCCCCTCCTTCCAGCCTTGGGCACAGCCACACAGGCCAGCTCTGTGGGGTACTTTAACCCCTGGGTGATCAGCTGAGGTCAGGGTGTCTTACACAAGCAAAAGGAAAAAAAAAAAAAAAAAAAAAACCAGAAAAAAAAAAAGAAGAAAGAGCCTGGAATGGTGGCACGAATTTCCCCCCAGACATAATTTCTCCACGGGCTTAGTCAGCTGAAAGAGTTCTGCAGTTGCAGTTGCATTTCCCTCTGACAACCCTTACTTCTCCTTCTAACTGCCCACATCTCATCTACATCAGATGACCACATCTGGTCCTTTTGTACTGATTAAAGGTGGGCAAGCTGAACATCTGCAGTGATCTGGAAGTTATTTATGGACACCCCAAGATGCTGATGATGACACAAGTACCCTGTTTACAAAGCTCAGAGATAATGCAGACCCAAACTGCAGCTGCACTTTAACTGCAGGGACAATTCCTGAGCCCTCTGCAGGATGGGTGCAGCGTGTCCTGCCACCTGCACAGGGACAGGCTGGCAGCTGTGGCCTCACCTGCAGGCATCAGGGCTGTAGAACTGCAGGGAGGTTGGGGACATGAAGGGTGGCCACATCTCCCCTGCTGTCCCGTTGATCATGTTGCACTGGCTGCTCCGCCAGTAGTTCACCTGGGGGACAGGTGCAGAGAGAAGAACTCAGAAGGATGAGCGTGCTGGAGCCAGCTCCCACCCTGCATGCAGTGTCCACCACCCCACGCTGCTTCCACAGCAGCACCAAAGATCTGTCCCATCTTAAGCACATTTTCCACCCTCCATGACTCTGTGAGCCAAACATCCACCCAATTAATGGACAAGAGCCCCCTGCCCCCAGAGGATGAGCTCTACATTCAGTGAGTTTAGTCAGGAGCAGAATTCCACAAGGGGAGAGTAAAGCATCCTTTAACAAGAGTATTTAACACCTCCAACACAGACCACAGGAGCCTGAGACTTCAACCATGAGAGGCAGCCAGCCCCAACAGCACTGCAAGGGAAAAACCCATGAGGAGATGAATTTATTGCTTCCTGAAAAGCTCCTTGCCACATGGCTGCCTCCTGGCAACTTGCTAGAATGGAAGTTGCAGCACTTGAAGCCCTGTAGAAACTTTTCTTCACACCTGACCCATCCACAAGAGCAGGCAGAGCTTTCAGCTAACCCTGCTTTCAATCAGGCACTCCCCATTATCCAATGGCTGCCAGGCACTCACCTTCTTGAGCCCATTCCATGAATCCACCATGTGAACCTGACTGATGTTCTTCATGCCTGTGTTTACTGTGAACAGCCCTGAGTTGGAGTTGTTAAACTGCAGAGAGAAGGAATGATTGTTTAATGCACAGCACACAACACCTCACTGACTCTGGGCGCTACTCAGCTCCTACCCAGCTGAGTGTCTGAGCTACCCCCAAGATAACATGGCTGTGATTTTAGCATTCCCAACCAACACTTACATCCATGAATAATCCAAACTTCCCCTTGAAAGGCAGCAGGCCAGGAATAATCATATTTATTGCATCTATCAGGGGGTCTTCATACCCCCACATGATCTCCCCCACCGTCCGGTTCATGAACGCCTCCTGCTTCAGGCTAGCCAGGGCTCCACTCAGTAAAAGCTTCACAAAATTTGGCAGCTTTTCCACCATCACAGCTGCTCCCTGAGAAAGAAAACAAATGTCTGGGATGAGAGGCCCATCTTTAGCAAAGATGAAGCGTTTTTGGTGCTAACCAAAATAATTTTGCTGCTCCCATAGCCCCAGAGGAATCCTCTGGACAGACTGAGGTTCTTCATTTATTCCCTGTTGGGGAAGAAAGCAGTTGAGGGCTCACAGGCGTGATTTCCCCACAGGATGCTCAGATGAAGTTGCAGACTCAAGACCAGCTGCTCTGCACACTCTGGTTTTGGAACAGTAGCAGCCTAACAGAACAATTAACACCCAGAAAGCAGAAAATTACATTATATAAGCTTAACCACCTCATTGCTTGATCAGCCTCAAGCCCTACAAGAAAGTAATTCAGTAATTCAATGCTGGATACCACCAACATCCCTGCAAGCTCAGAAGGTGGAACCCATCCAGGCAAGAAGCACTTACCATCAACATGATGTTTGGCACAACAATGTACTCGTCCTCCGTGCCATTGGACAAGTCTGGCTGGAAGAAGAGGTGCCGGTACTCCAGGTAGGAAACAGTGTCGTTGTCATGGAATGTGATGTTTGTTTTAAACCTGTACTCCCTGCAAAGAGATGGGAGATCATGGGAACCATCCCCAGGCAGAGCCCCTTGAGCCAGAATGGGCTGCACAGGCTGCTGGGGGAGACCAAACCCCAGTGAGGAGCCATGGGGCAGCTGGGGAGACAGTGTGGGATCAGATATAAACTCTCCCCCAACCAGGGTTAGGGTCTGGCATGAGCTGCAGTGTGGGATCAGATATAAATTCCCACCCCAGCCAGGGTTAGGGTCTGGCAGGAGGAGAGGGCAGCCCAAGAGCCAGGCATCCCTGACAGGTTGGATTCCTGCAGACACAAAGTGTTTCTTCCCAACGAATTACCCAAGAAATTTAAGACAAAACTGTAAATCTCCTCTGTTGCTTCACCCGCTGTAAATGCCAGGCACACCAGAGAGGTGCCCAGACATGCTGTGCCTGGCACAGCAACCCACACACCAGAACAACCTGCACACAGGAGAGAACCAGCCAAGATGCCCCATGTTCCACCAGTGATCTGCTCCCAGGCAAATGTGATGGCTCCTGGGTTCAGGGCAGCCTGACCCTCCACACAGCACCGTGCTCCTTCTGCTCCTCGGGGCTTCAGGCCATCCATGTCCTGCACACTGCCTGATGCCTTTAGCTTTCATATTTTCCATATTCTGTACTGCATTAGTATGTAGCTCTGAACTTCATAGAAAGTGCCAGCAGTTCTCACAGCTCAGTCACACAGAACAATCCTTTTCCAGCCCCAAAACCAAGGACACCACTGCAGCTTCAGCCCAAAAAGTGTAAAACAACAGAGAATGGAGGAGAGCAACCTGGGAGGATGGGACCGCATCACCTGAGTCGGAATTGGACAATGAACCCCAGTATGGAAATGGACCAGAACTGATAAAAGTGTGAAAACTCATGACACGCCATCCATCTTGGGTGGAGCCACCGCTGGGCTCTTGCACTGCCCAAGGTGCATCCTTTGAAGGCCTTTTAATAAATCCCTGCTTTATTCATTTAATTCTGTGGAGCCTCTGTTCTAGGAAGCCTCTCTAGGCACCAGCCCAGTGCTGCTGGACTTCAGCCACGGCACAGGGGCAGCCCCAGCCTCATGGAGGCTGCAGTGCTCTGCAGCACTGCGAGGTTGTCCCCAACAGCACAAGCCTGTTACTGCTCCTGGAGGAACTGAAGCTCAGCTCACCAGCAAAAACAAAGTCCTTCACTGTGGAGCCTCTGTTTTACAGCCCACATTAGGGAAGGGCACTAATCTTGCTCAGCAGGAACACAAGGACACTAATAAGCTTTGCCCCTTTGTTTATTCTTATTTACAGTAAGTGAAGCTTTTCCCCAGGCCAAGAGAGCGATGCGATGGCAACATACAGAACCCACAGGGGGAGCTGGCAAGGCCAGGGCAAACAAGGGCACATACATACTGCAGGTGTCCCCTCACACTGCTCCAACAGCTTTGGATTAACCAGTAATCTTCCCACATGAGCTTGCTTAGGCTGCTGTTCAACCTCACCCCATTACTGTAGGTATTAATATACTGAAGATCACTGCTGGTGGGGAGGTTCACACATTCAACATCAATCACTGCTTCCCTTTTGGGTGCTGAGAAGCACCTGGGGCTTCAGCCAGCATCCTCAGCCATGGCAAACAGACCCAGCCCTGCTGTGTGTGGGTCTGACCCAGTGTTAGAGCTCCATGCTGGTTCCCATGACCAGAGCACTCATTCTGGGCATGTTCTGGGTCTCACCTTAGGCAGGGACTTTGGCCCGTGAAGTTTGATATTGAGGTGACTCCAGCTCAAGAGCTGGGCTCTTAAATGCACAGTAAAGATAAAAAAAGCACTCTGAAGATACAGTCACCCACCACCACACCAATGCCACCCATGTTTGGACTGAATCACCCCAGGTCTGCCTGCCCAACAGGCCCCAGCAAAGGACTGAGCTGCACAGCTCAGTGGAGCTCCCACCAATCTCCCTGTCTCAGTGACCAGAGGCCCTACCTGTGTCTTTAGCAAGATCAGAGCAATTAGAGCACACCCTTTAAAATCCAGTGTCCCTGGGCTCTCAGCGAGCCTGCTGATGCCCTGTCCTCCTGCCAGAGGAGCCAGCCAGCAGCCTGGCAGGCAGCACAGTGGTCAGGCTGATGCCAGGCTGGAGCACCAGTGGTACCTGACCTGTACACGTAGGGCCCACGCTGGCTCAGCACCGGCTTCTCTCCCCGCAGCACCTGCTTGGGGTTCAGCACTTCGAAGAAATGCACAGTCAGGTAGAAAGGAACAGGGATGTCTTTCCACATCTGGAAGGAGATGCTGCTGGGGTCGATCCTGACATTCTGTAAGGCAAAAAAAATAAGGGGACACAACATTTGGGCTCTGTGGCTGCAGGTGAACTCATCCACCCTCAGCTCAGTGAAGGCACAGCTGAAGGTGGCAGTTACAGATGCTCTCCAGAGGATCCAGGTGGTTTTGGCAGACTGAAACCCAGCCAGATATACAGTGAGAACTCCTGTGTGTGCAGAAGCATCAGGTTTATGTTTAAAAGCCAGGATCTCTGCTGGCTTATTTATTCAGGCTTAACTTTTCTAATCCTACCCACAGGGCTTCCGAGTGTTTTGATGTGCTGCAGACTTGGCTCTGATTTATTCATGTTTTACTTGTCTGTCCCAAAGGCCTTTGCTCATGCATTTGGCAGCTCCACACAGCTAAATGCAAGAAAGGAGAAGTGGCACAGCTATCCTCACAACTGCTTGGGTACCAGCAGGGAGAGCCCACCAGATTCCCAAAAAGATGGGGAACTGGGATGGCAGCTGTGTCCCAGCAGCACAGCACAGGACACCCCTGCCTCCCCTCAGCTGCCAGCCTGCATTGACTCACAGCTGATCATGAGGCAGGTCAAAGGCAAGGCACAATCGTGTTCCCATATCACTGTCCTGTGTGCTGGGAAATGCCTGCAGCAGCTCCAACACAGCTTAAGCCCTCCTCAGCTCAGAGCTGGCACATCTGCCTCCACTCCCTCCCTGCCCCCAGGCTGCTGCAGGAGGGCAAGAGCTTGTTCCTTCTTGAGCACCCACTCTGGATGTGTTCCACCATAATCTTTTCTTCTGGAAGCACAGATCCTTGTCCCTGCTTAGGTAACCCAGGCAGCTTATGGAAGTGGGGTTGATCCATCAGGAGGAGGAGGAGGGATGTGGGCTTTGTGCTGGAGCAGCTCACAGCTCCTGCTCTGGAGCAGCTCCATCTGACTGGGCACATATTTGCTGACACAGGGAGTTGGGGTGCCAGAGGTTTCCCCATAACATCTCCCCTTTCCTAAGGAATTTTATGGCAAGGCTGAGCTACCTGTGAGCAGGAGGCCTCTGCAAGCCCCATCCCTGAGAACACATCTCCACAATGCTGTGTAACCCATCTCACCCAGCACACCCTTCCCACCACCACACACTGCTCTGATTTTGCCAGCCTCAAGGATTTCATGGCAAAGAAGCAGTAACAGGACAGATTTTTGTTTAGTCTGCTTTACAGCCCTGATTCCCAAGTGTTGAATGGATTATGATCAAGAACATCTCCTTTCCTTCAATTGCTTGTTCTGCCTTGCACTCCCTTGACCACTTGTTGCATATGCATTTATTTTTATAATAAGCACCCAGTCAGATGGAGCTACATCCCAGCTCCCTGCTGCTTTCCCAGCTCCCTCCCCTCCAGCTCAAGGTGCTGCTAAGTTCCCCACAACCAGGTAGCCTTAAAATGAGCTATTTTTAGGTCAAAACAGACACAGTCACATGTCTGAAATAAAACCAGAGTATTTGTCAACTAGATGAGCTGCAAAGGGACATTGAGTTGTTTGACCCCTCCTGACCAGGCTGATCTTTGTTCCCGAGGAACTGAAAGGAACTGGTTACTGCCCATCAGCTCCAGATGGGGCCAGGAGAGCAGCAGCTCCACCACAGCACCCAAATCCTGCTTCTCCAGGAGGGAGGGAGGCACCGTGCTCAGTAAAATGAGAGATGAGGTTTCCCTGCAGCCTGGGAGGAGCAGCCAGGGCAGGTGTCAGGCAGACCTCACCCTGCACATCCTGTCAGCACCCTCCTACCTCAGCAAGGACCGTGCTGCTCCTGCAGCCAGGACAGCAGCCGAGCTCCAAGGGAGCAGCCACGGCGGGCAGAGGGGTGAGCTGATCATCCCTGTGCAAGCTCACACCTTGGCAGGTCTGTGGCATTCCAGATGCTTCCAGAAAAGCAATGCTCCCCAGGTTTTGCAGGGCCAACCCCACAGGCAGCCCAGTGCAGGTGGGGCAGGCTCCAAGCTGCCTGCTGTCCCTGCAGACTTCACCCAAAGATATCCTTGAAACCACCACCTCTCCATAACTGCTTTTCCATCAGGACACACCATCCTGACAGAGCTCAGGGGGCCAGGATGGCAAACCAGCCTCTACCTGCCCAACCCCAGCCCTCCAAGCTCCTCTTACCCACACTAAGACCAACCCAGGAGTTTCAGTAAGGGCCTGAATGTTTCTCATCACCCGTCATCACTCAGCTATTAGGCTTAATATGAAATGGAAAAAAATGTGCTCAGGGTAATTTTGTGTTGTGTTGAAGATGGGGAGACCAAGGGCTTGAGGTGAAGGAATGAGAAACAAGGGTTGATCTTTTCATCTTCTGTTCTCATTGCAAATTATTAGGACTTAGCTAATTAGGTTGAAAAAAAAATCAGGATTAGCTAAAAAGAGGGCAGAGAGGTTTTTACACAAAAAAATGCCATTTCAGTCCTGCAGGGGCCATTCAGCCTTTTATTGGCAGGTAGCAGTTCCTGATGTCCTGAAACTGAACATAGATTTTTTACTGTTTGATCCACGGGACTGTCTGGCTCTGCCCAGCCAGCAGCACTTCCAAGGGGTATGTTTAAGTAGGTCATTTTCGGCAGAGACTTTGCGCCACACGCAGCACCAGCCATTGGCTATGAGGTGTGTTTGTTCACCTCTTTCATCAGAAGCAAATTTCCAGGGGCTGACCTGGGTAGGTGGAAGCTTGGAGAAAGGCCAAGGCAGGGAGCACATCTGCCTTGGACAGGGAGGAAAAGGTTTGGCTGAAGGTGGGGATGAGCTCTGGGTTACAGCAGGATAACTGCTGACCCTGCAGCAGGGACAGGAGTGCTGCTTCATAAAACTGTGCAGCAGTTGCTGGACAGAGCAACAACCCCATCCACAGCCCCACATTTTGGGGGCAAACCCTTGGGGACAAAGCCTCAGCACCTCTCCTGGGGATAGAAGAGGTATTCAGAGAAGCAATTCTTCAGGCTTTCAGTCTGAAGGAGAGAGGATAACTTGGAGGCTGCTCCACGCACATCACCCTGTTTCCAGCGGGGAAAGCATCTCGCCGTGAGCCCGGCAGTGTGCTCATCTACGTATGAAAGGAATAACTGGTGCTGCAGGTGGAGGCAGAGGGAAGGGAGGAAGCGCCGCTGCTCAGGGTGATGCTCAGCCAAGCACCGCATCCCAGCTAATTCCGGCGATGCAAAGAGCCCTCGCTAACCAGGGGTGGTTAACCGGCTCACTCCCGGCACGGGGGCTGCCACCAAGGGCGGAACACCCCAAACCCGCGTTTGCCCGAAGAGCCTGAGGCTGCTCGGAGCCGCAGCAGCGACGCTTCCATCCGCAGCGCTCGGCTCTCCGGACCGCACTGCACAAGGGAAAGGCGCACCAGCCCCGGCCCGCACCGCACCGAGCCCCGCACCGCAGCCGGCCTCCAGCGCACCCCCCTGGGCCCCAGCGCACCCCCCTGGGCCCCAGCACACCCCCCCGGGCCCCGGCACACCCCCCCGGGCCCCGGCACCGACCCCGCTCCGCACCGCATCCCGCTCCCCTCAGAGCCCACCCGCGCCCCTCACGGCGCCCCGCTGACCTTGATGACCTGCTGCCGCACGATGAGCGGCCCCAGCAGCAGCAGGCAGCCCCCCACGAGCGCGCAGGCCAGCCCGGCCAGCCCCAGCCCCACGGACAGCCTGCGCTGGGCCACGGCCATGGCGGGGCGGAGCGGGACGGCGGGGCCGCGACGGAGGGGCGGGGCTGTGCCTGAGGCCACGCCCCCGGCCACGCCCCCGCGGGAGGCGCGACGGGAGAGGGAAGGCGAGCGCGGCGTCAATGCAAACACGTGTGTGAAAAACGGGGAAATCGGTAAAACAGAGCGAGAACGGAAATGTATCAACAGATAAAATATCGTGCAATTGTGGAAGAGAATGGGTTTGTGCTGGAGGGGACTTTAAAGATCACCTCGTTCCACCCGCTGCCATAGACACCTTCCAGTCTGTCCAGCCTGCCCTGGGCGCTGCCAGGGATCCAGGGGCACCACAGCTGCTCTGGGAAACATGTCCCTGTGCCTCACCATCGCCACAGTAAATAATCCTAATATCTAATCTAAACCTATTTTTTTTTTCAGTTTGAAGCCATTCCTTCTTGTTCTGTCACTGCATGCTAGATAAAAAATACATAAACTTGTTTGTATTCGTGTGTGTGTATATATATATATATGTTTTGCCTGAGGAGTAAACATCCATCACCATTAACCTGCCTCTGTTTTTCCATTAAACCAACTCTGTTTTTCCAAAAAACTGGGTCTTCTCTCCATCTTGTGCATCTGAACACGGCCCTGAATAAAAGCCTCCCTGAGACTCATCCCCAGCAGCATCTAGAAGGCAGCAGAAAACAGAGTCCAGTTTGTGACAGCCTGTTTTAAATCAATCACACACACCATCCCATTGTCCCAGCTGAGCTAACACATCTGGAAACTGGAGTGCCTCCACCTGCCACACAGTGTCCTGCATGAAGAGAGGGGACAGTCTCACCAGGCAGGGCCCAGCACAGCACCTGCCTCTTGCCACGGCCCCCACCTCAATGGAACATCTACATTTGTATCTTTACACTTAACTGGCTCTTTTTATTTCCCTTCTAAACCTCCTACCCTGAGAGTTGCCTCTGTTTAATTACCAGATCAATTAACAATGTCTCTGGTCAATCCGGGCCGGTCTGCGCTGTGGGATGGCCCCCTCTCCCAGCAGCAATGCCTTCAGACCTGCACAAAGCAGGTGCCATGTTTGACTTTTTAGGACTTTTTTTTACAAAGAAATGCCGTGAAAGGAATTTTTCCTTCAAATCCCAGAAATCCCCAGTAAAACCCAGGAGATTCCCTGGGGCGCCGCAGAACAACCCAGCGTGAGAAGATCTCTGGGAACAGCGTGTTCCGCCACGGCTAGAACAGAACGCAGCCCCAAAGCTGACAACAAGCTTTGCTGTTCTCATCAAATTCTGCTGCGTGGCTGATCCCACCCCAGCCGTGGTCTCTGCTGCCTCTGAGGCGTTGGCACTGCCACGCTGAGCCTCGAGTTCCTCAGACCCTGCAGAGGTCACAGAACCGTACAATGCCCTGAGCTGGAGGGGACCCACGAGGATGAAGTAAAAAACCTGCAGAGAACAGCTCCAAAACCCCACCAGGTGCCTCAGAGTGCTGTCCAAACCCATCCTGGACCGGGGCAGGCTTGGTGCTGTGGGCAGCCCCAGGACGCCTGCACACCCAGCCTCTGTGGAAGAACTTTTTCCTAGCTCCCATTCCAGCCCTCCTGACACGTCACACCCTTCCCTTGTGGCCAGCAGAGGCTGACCCAGCTCCTGAGGTCACAGCACGGGTTTCTCCTCCAGGCCATGACAGGCTTGTACAGCACCGTGGTTTTTAAACAGGACACTGTAAAGGTTTTTTACTGAGACGTTGAAAATAAAGGGATTTCTTAAACACGGCTCTGTAGTCACTTGTGGAGGCTTTTGGCATTCATCAAGCTCCCCGTGTCCTCCTGCAGCTCTCCCTGATGGCAGTCAGGCCTTCAGATCAGAGCCACGTGCAGTTGTGCTCCCTGCATTCCAGAAACAGGCTCCCCTGCAGCTCTGTTTGAGTTCTGCTGGAGAGATGCTCAGTTGGGGAATTCTGCTGTCCCCAGAGGACAGAAAGCCCACACAAGGGCCAAGTGCTCCCTGCAGCTGCTGGGGTTCAGCTCAGGAAGCAGGAGCCAGGGCAGCGTGGGCAGAGCCCGGGGCACTCCTGTGGGGGAGGACAGGATGTCCAGGCTGGCACAGCACCAGCTCCCACCCACACGGCGTTTGGCTCCTCAGCATTCAAAAGCTGTCTCCAGCACAGCACAGACCTTGGTGCTCCTCACTCGCTCTGTACAGGCCACACCAGTAAGGGAACTGGTGTTACTGGGGGCACACCCTGCTGTCCCACGCAGGCAGTGTAAGATCCCTTCGGGTCCCTGAAGCCAGCTGGGACCATGACCCAGCTCCCACCACATCCCCTTCCACAGCCAAGTCCACATCCTCACTCCTGGAAAGGGCATCTGTGCCACTCTCCCTTTTCCCTCTCCACACACCCAGCACACCCCTGGTTAACTCATCAGCCCCTCCTGCAACCCCCACCACAAATACTTCAGAGGAACTTCCCTTTTGCCAGGGCTTCTGCAGACACAGGAACTGCTCTGACAGCTCAGCAGCATTTCCATTTGGGGCACAGCTGGAACGAAGCACATCCAATTTCCAATAAGTACATCTGAAATTACTGCTTGCTTAATGCCATTAAGCTCGACAAAATAACAAGTCCACCCCGTAACTGATGAGATCTACACTTCCCACCCCACTTTCCAAGCCCAAGGGCTGCAGGACCATCCTGTTCCCCAGGCTGTGAGAGCTGCGGGATCACCCTTCTGCTGTTTCTCCACTAATCCCAAAATAAGGGCAGTTGCTGGGCAACCCAGAGCTATCTCAAAGCCTTCTGATGGGGAACATCCCCAGCTCCCCGTTGCACATCCCTTCTTGCACAACACCACAGCTGCACAACATCTGCAGGCGGGCACTGAGCTGCAGCCAGGTATCAGAACACTTATACAACGCCAGGAAAACCACGGCGCGGGGATTAGCTACAACCACCAGGAATGTGGAAGCCTTGCATAAGGCAGTTTTGCAACTCCTTTGTCTGTGGAAAGCTACGTAATTATTGTTTGTTAGAGACCTGGAGTTGGGCAACATCAGAACAACTGTTCGTGTAACTTGGGACACAGACTTTTACAGATGCAACAGCTTTATTGGAATGAACAAGTGCAGGGAACCTTTTATTTGGAACAACCTGCTGGTTCAGTTACCACCCCGCAGGCGCAGGACAAGGTGCAGAGTTGACTCCTTCTGGATGTTGTAGTCGGACAGGGTGCGGCCATCCTCCAGCTGCTTGCCTGCAAAGATCAGCCTCTGCTGGTCTGGGGGAATGCCTTCCTTGTCTTGGATCTTGGCCTTCACATTCTCAATGGTGTCACTGGGCTCGACCTCAAGGGTGATGGTCTTGCCAGTCAGGGTCTTGACGAAGATCTGCATCCCACCTCGCAGGCGCAGCACCAGGTGCAGGGTGGATTCCTTCTGGATGTTGTAGTCAGACAGGGTGCGGCCATCCTCCAGCTGCTTCCCTGCAAAGATCAGCCTCTGCTGGTCTGGGGGGATGCCTTCCTTGTCCTGGATCTTGGCCTTGACATTCTCAATGGTGTCACTGGGCTCAACTTCCAGAGTGATGGTCTTGCCAGTCAGGGTCTTGACGAAGATCTGCATCCCACCCCTGAGGCGCAGCACCAGGTGCAGGGTGGATTCCTTCTGGATGTTGTAGTCAGACAGGGTGCGGCCATCCTCCAGCTGCTTGCCAGCAAAGATCAGCCTCTGCTGGTCTGGGGGGATGCCTTCCTTGTCCTGGATCTTGGCCTTGACATTCTCAATGGTGTCGCTGGGCTCGATCTCAAGGGTGATGGTCTTGCCTGTCAGGGTCTTGACGAAGATCTGCATTTTTCCCTGGAAGAGGAAAACCTGCCGTGCTTTAGCGACTGCTCCCCGTACGCGGGGCTCCGCCCCGACCGTGACGTCACAGCGCAAGCCCCGCCCACAACCGTGGAGGGGCGGGGCCCCACCCGCTTCCCCTTCCCGCCCGAGGCGCGCGCCACCATCTTGAAGCGCCGCTGCGCCTGCGCGGCCGCCATTTTGCCAGCGGCCGCTCGCCCCGGCCCTTCCCCGCCACCGCCTCGCGGTGCTGCCGTTGGAGGGGAAGGCAACGTCCCAGCCCTCCCCCCGCCATCACGGTCCGCCATCGCCCCCCGCCGCAGCTCCTCAGCGCACAGCGCCCTCCGTCCCGCCCGGACGCCCAGCCCGCATCTAGGCCCTCCCCCGCCGAGCTCTCACCGCGGCGCCGCTCGGCCCCACCGACAGCACAAACCTCACCCAGCGCCAACTGCGCCACGCATCCCTCCGCTAGGTGCTTATATGGCCTCCGGCGCCCCGCCCCCGCCCTCGGATCACTCCGCTGCGCACTATTTCCCTCGCGCCGCGCGCCTCCGCTCTCCTGCACGGGCGGGGGGCGGGCGGCGCGGAGGGATCGGCGCCTCGCGCGGCTGCGCTGCGGTCCCGCGCGCGGGACGGCGGGCGGCGGGAAAAGCCGGCCCGGAGCCGCCGGAGCGGCGCCAGCCAAGCGACCCCACGGCCGCTCGTAAAAGCAGAAAACATAAAAAGTTTCATGATGATCGGGGGGTTAAACCCTGCAGTTGCGCCCCTGCTTGATAAACGTGGCGTTGGTTTTACCCCTAGGGCAGGGCGAGGGTCGGCTGTGCCCGCGGCCGCGCCGTGAGGGGCTCCTGAGGGAAGGAGCCGGCGGCTGTATCCCGAGGGGCGCCTCCAGAGTTATTCCCGTGAGAGAGCAGGGCTGTCTGTCACCCACACAGGCACAGCCCGCTGGGGTGGGCACGGCTGGAACGGGTTTGTTTATCCCGGAGCCTCGGTGCCACCGTGCCCGTGCGACAAGGGCCAGGGCACGGAAGGTGTGCGGCTGCTGCGGCGAGGCTGGGGCAGCCTGAGGGGCAGGGAGCACAAGGGGGGCTGCAGGGGCTCCTGCCTGCGGAGGGAGATCAGGGAGCATGGAGAGGGGACGTGAGTGTTACAACATGAGGGACAAAGAAAGGCCGGTGGATAAAGAGATGGGGTCCTGCAGAATAATTGCCCGAGAGACAATCAAGGAGTGTGGGTACAGATGTGCACACATAAAGTGGGGTATGCCTCTGAGCTGTAATGCAGTTTGTAACTCAGGGGTAAAATCAGAACTAATAATGCCGATTTCTTATTCTGTTGTCCAAGAGCACCTTCTGATACTGCACTCTGCAGCATCCTACCCAAACTGCGCAGCAGCTCCAGCAAAGCTGGGAACAGAATGGAGCTTTGTCTGAAGATTCAGGCACTCGGTTCGATTCGCCTACAAAACCCTTCATTTGGCAGCGCCCAAGGAGAGTGGCAGGGACACTGGTAACACCCAGGGCTGCTCAGCAGCAGGGAAGGAGCAGAGGTCCAGCAACAGCTTTGTGGTTTGAGGAAAAGTGCCTGTGTCTGCCTGACACATGGAGGGAATGCTCTGGGGAGCTCTTTGCCTCTGCTGCTTTGTGTTTGTACTAACACTCACCACAGCTGTAGTGATAATAATCTCAAACACTCATTTAGATGGAAAAAAAATATCACAGGAGTCTTTTGGTTACTGCTCAGTGGCTGATGCTGTGCACTGGGAGTATATAAGCATCAAAAATTGGAGAATCCTTCCAGGTCTGGGTTTTTCCTCAGCAGAAAGTGAACAATAATGTTAAGCTTGTTCTTTTAGTTACAAGGTGAGCACTTGGGACTGGTCAGAAAATCACCAAAAAGGCACATGGGAAAGTGTTTTGTGAGAAAAAGTCAATTTCTGCATGCTTGTTACTGTCTCTTACATTCCAATGCAGGGCACATTCCAGAAGTGTAGCTGCCAGGGAGATCCAGGGAGTAATTTACAGCAGGCATCTTCAAAGTTTTGAGTTCAACTCATGGAGCAAATTACCAGCCTTATATTAAGAATTACAAGTCACAACAGTTTAAGTAGCATAACAGCAGTTGTCACAGGGTGAACGGTGGAATTTTGAAGAATTTTACTATGGGGGTCTAGGGGACAAGATGGAGGGATTTGGACGTTGTCCTGTCCTTCTTCCTTCTTCTTCCCAGCCTCCATCTTCTTGGTGATGTTAGCGTATTTGGATTGGTGTGGAGTAGGAAGTCACTGTCTAACATAGGTGACAGGTATTGGAACACAACTGTAAATATCGAATATGTAGTTTGTAGTATAAAAGACAACACCAGCCCCGTGGGAGGGCAGTGTGTGTTGGCTTGACCAGCCGAACAGACCTTGGCAGGCCAGACAGAGAATGTTTTAGATAAGAAATTACAAAGAACCTTGAGAGGGGTTTGTTTCCCGAGAGCTCTTCCCAAGCTCTCCCGCTGCCAGGGGGGACAGGACAGGGGAGGGAGCGGGCACTGCGGAGCCAGGAGCTGCTCCTGAGTGTCCTGGCTCTGTTCTTCCCCTCTGGCTCCGGGAACGTGGGGCAGAGCCCCTGAGCTCCCTGTGGCTGCGCCTCTGCCAGGCTGGGGGTGTGGCAGTGCCAGCCGGGCATGAGTGGCCACTGTCCCCCTGCGTTTCGGGGTTTGCTGCTCTGCCCTTCTTTTTGTGCCTCCTGCACAGATGGGACCAAAAGCCGTGTGTGTCTGCACAGGCCTGAGGAAAAACAAATGTAAACAACCAAAAATCCAGCACTTTTTGTCGCTGGGAAGTGCCGCTGTGTGCCCGTTCCTGCCGCACGCTCCGTTTGCCGCTGCTTAACGTGACGCGGTTGCTTTGACGGCATAAAACATCACCAAAAAGCAGGAAAAAGAGCAGCAACCCCGTGGAGATGCCGGGGATTGAACCCGGGACCTCATACATGCAAAGCATGCGCTCTACCGCTGAGCTACATCCCCGTGCCCGCGCTCCGTGCCCTGCCCGCCCGCCCGCTCCGCGCTGCGCTGGCCCCGGGCGGGAGGCACCGAGACGCGCTGCAGGGTAGAGCCTGGCGTGGTCCCCAGGCAGCCCTCAAAAGGACAGGATCGCGCTGGTTCGCACGCGCAAAACCGAATGGTTTTGCTCCGTCGGAAAGCAGAGAAATCTGTGCAGAAAGGAAAAAAAAAATTAAAGGAAGAAAAAAAGATATGTAACCTCCCCGTCGGGGAATCGAACCCCGGTCTCCCGCGTGACAGGCGGGGATACTCACCACTATACTAACGAGGACGGCTGGTAAAAGGCTCCCCGCAGGCCAGGTCATGCCCGAGGCGGCCGCAGGATTTGCGCCATCGCCGCCGCTCTTCGGGAAGCGACTCCTGACACAAAACTCCCGCACGCGGGAGCGCCTGCGACGGCACCGGCTGAGCCGCCCGAGACAGGGACAGCAGCCCCCGCTCCCCCCGCTCGGCAGCAAAAGGAACCGTCCTGACAGTAAGGAGAAAAACAAACAACCAAACAAACACCAAAAAGAACCAACCAACCAACCCCACCTAAAAGGTGTAACCCCTCTGCCGAAACCCGGGATCGAACCAGGGACCTTTAGATCTTCAGTCTAACGCTCTCCCAACTGAGCTATTTCGGCGGGCGACAGCGCCCTCGCTGGCCGTGGATACGACCCCGCCCCGCGCCCCCCGGGCGCCGCAGCCCCGTCGGTACCTGCGCTCCTGCTGGGGTTCCGCCGCCCGGAAACGGGGTGAGCGGGATTCGCACCTTCCCGCGGCATTTCCACTGCCAGGATCCCACGGAGACCCCGGGTACCGGCGCGGCTGGGTGCTCCGCACGCACCCCGGGCACTCCGCTCGCCTCCCCTGCCGCAAAAGGCGGCTCTGCCCCGCCCCTGCGGCTGGGGTTCCGCGGCAGCGCCACAAACAAACCCAACGAGGGGCCGCCCACAAAAAGTGACATCCGGAGACAAAATTGGCTGTACCTCCCCGTCGGGGAATCGAACCCCGGTCTCCCGCGTGACAGGCGGGGATACTCACCACTATACTAACGAGGACGGGTACGGTAACGGCGCTTTCGCTGTGCCCTATGAGGGTTCAGTCCCGGCCCCGGCGGAGCCGCCGCTGTCCCGCTCGGTCCCCGCGGCCGGGGCGCAGCGCGGGGCTCGGGGTGACCGCGCTGTCACCGCGGTGTCACTGCCGGGCCACTGTGCGGCTCCCGCTATCGCTGTATACACTGAGTGCAGCGCCCCGTTCAGCGAGGGGATGTAGCTCAGTGGTAGAGCGCATGCTTTGCATGTATGAGGCCCCGGGTTCAATCCCCGGCATCTCCACTTTTTGCCCGTACCCTTCAGGCCGCCTCTTTTTGCTTTTTCCTCCTCCATTTTCGGGAGGAGCTGAAATTTCCCAATATAGTCCATAACCGCCTGTTGATTTTCTTCCCTCCTCCCAGCCGAGTGTGCAGACTTGTGCTGTAATCCCTGCTAAACAAAGGAGCCCTGCCAAGAGCCCCAGCACCCTCCTGCCTGGGGACGTCCCAAACCCAATGGTGCTGAAAAACCCAAAACCAAGTGTTTGACTGAAAACACACCAAGGGGCTGCTTTCTTTCTAGCTGCAGGTATAAAGTTGCTGTTTCTTCAGTTTTAGATGTTTTTAATGCTTGTGTTCTGGCCTCTCCCCTGAAGCCCACGGCAGTGGTGGGATCACTGGGAATTGTGGACTCATCCAGCCTGGATGCACCATTTCCTGCAGGGCACGGGGACAGGAGGGTCCCTGGCCCAGCTTTCTCCTGCAGCAGTGGCACAAGCAGCAGCCCACCACCACAGCGTGAGCTTGGGTTTACCAGGCTCAGAAGGATCAGGTGAAGGGGAAGGGAAACTCAAGCTTCTTCCCTTCACTAATTAAACCATTCCTGATTTTTGTGCTCCCTGTCCTGAGCTGCTGCCCAGGTTCTGTCTGACACCCGTGAGGATGTGCCTGCACAGCTCTGACATCCTGCTCACTGCAGCATCCCACACAGCAAACATTCCTCCCATCCAGACCAAGAATTTCACATATTTATTACAGTTCATATGACTAATATAGTCCAAAGAGACACTTCAGGTTAAAAAAAAATAAATCTGTAAAATACAATGGATAAAATTATCCAAACATTAATATTATAAAATAGCAGCTCAACAGCTGGCAGGACTTCTGGGAAAGCAGAACAACACCTGGTTTGCTTACAGAAAGATATCACTACAGTTGGTGAGTCCATCTGCTTCAGATTTCCAAGGAAACCCTTGGAAAGCTCCCAGAGCACCTTGGAGAGAAGGAGTCCATCAGTACCAGGGTCACAGGGCTACTGGTGGCCACTTCAGGGCGAGCTCCTGGTGCATGGCCTCGGGCAGCCACTGGCAGTAGGCTGAGAGCAGATCTGCAGGGGGAGAGGAGCAGCTACTGAGTTTGGCTGGGAAAATCTCCTGAGGGATCTCCCCCTGGGAGCCAGGAGCAGCAGCCACTGCTGGGATGGAGCTGGGATGTTTCCAGGAATCTCTGTGAGCCATCACTGCAGCACCTCGCTGCTGCTTCTGTCAAGGAATTCTTATCATCTGGCTGAAGGAAATCCATTTTACCAGGAAAAAAATTCAATATATCCATGGACAGTACCATCATAGTATGGGCATTTTAACTGTGGTTACAACTAGAGGAAAAAAAAATCTTAGAATACAAATAAATGTTGCTTTCTGAAGTGCTTTCTGTCATTTTTCACAAGAGCCAAGCACAGGGCATTACTGCTTCTGGTAAGAAAACAGGAAATATTTGGAGCTTAAGAAGTGAAATAGTCAATTTTTTGAAATTATAATTCAGTAGTGCTCGAGGTACCCCACTGACATGCCTGATGATCAGGCAAGCAGAACACTTACATTTAGGATTTTTCTTCCATGCAGCCACCAAGGCACCACGATTATCACAGTTCTCTTTAACTAGAGCCTGCAGGAGGGCTTCTGTCCTGGGCTGAAGTCTGAATCAGAGAAATGGAGAACAAAACCACGTTCATTAGCACAGCTCAGCAGAGGCAGCACACTCAGCTCACCTTCAGCAACCCCACATCTTTGGAAAAGGCTAAATACAGATGTGTAAACACAGCCTCTGCACACAGAAATGGCTGAAGAAAATTCACTGCCAGGGTTTTCTTCCCCCCACCACAACCCCCCGTGGCTAAAAGCAGCAGCAGTTGCTCTTGTGTCTCCCCTGCAGCTGCAGAGCTCGAGGCAAAGCAAAAAGGATTCCCCAGGGGCCAAGCTGAGCTCTGACCTGACTAAAACAGGAGAAAACTCGGTCATTGTAGGGCCCTCAGACAACATCTTCCCTAGATCACAATCTCCACCACCCTCCTCAGCACTGAATTTTTTAAGTTTAGAAAGGAAGTGAAAGGTGTTTGGTGGAGACAAGGACCTGAAGTTTGTTTTTAAGAACTTACTTGGACCATGTCTTCAGCATTATGAGGGGACTGGACAGCAGGCACTGGCTGTAAGAACTCAGCTTTTTAATGACCTGGAAGATTTGTTACAACAATTATGTAATGAATAAGGTAAATTAATTGTGTTATGATAACAACCATCAATGAACTTGTGCTGCTGCAGATTTCCATGCCATATTCTCCATCACCATTTCCTCCCATCCCTGTGTCCATAATCTTGTTCTGACTTCTTGGACAATTCTTCTGTCTTGGGGTGGACAAAGACAGAGCTTTTAGCTTTTTTTTACTTTGCAAAAAGAGGAGTTAAATTTGGGGGTGTGTTTTATTGAAATACTGATTTTTTTCATGCTTATTTTGTGTTTTCAAGATCCCTTCCCACCTCATCAACCACAACAAACTCCTCCACCCACCAGCAAGTGATGAGGAATGGGGAGGCACCAAAAATGAAGCCATAAGGTTCATCTCCTCCAAAATCTGGGCTAGAAGCTGACTGCTAACCTGAGGGAAATGGTGCAGCTGGGGCCCACTCACCTTCCCCTCCAGCAGGAACCTGGCAAAGTGTTTGTAGCGATCGATTCCCGCGGGGAAATCAACTTCCACAGCAGGGAGCTGCCAGCCCACCCGGTCTGGAAACAACAAACAGCCCAGGTCTGCCCCATGCTCCCAGGAGGGCACACCTCCAGGCAGGGGGACAACACAGGCGCCAGGAGAAGGGGGCAATGCAGCCACGATATTTTCTGGAAAACCCTTTTGCCAGGATTTTTCTCCTGAGGAGCCTCAAGAAAGAAATGTAAATAATAATTATATCTGCTGCTGTGGAATGCAGCAGGTGCAGCTGGGACTGGTGCATGTTGGTTGATTAATGGTTGATTAATCTGGGACTGGTGCATGTTGGTTGTTTCTAATTAATGGCCACTCGCAGTCAGCTGGCTTGGACTCTCTGGGAGACAGGAGCTTTTGTTATCATTCCTCTCCTGTCCTTTCCAGCCTTTCTCTATTTTTTTAGTACAGTTTTAATATATAATTTTAATATAATACATATCATAATATAATAAATTAGCCTTCTGAAACATGGAGCCAAGATTCTCATCTCTTCACTTGTCCTGGCACCACAGGGGAGGACACTGCCAGCCCCAGCCAGCCTCCACAGTGCCCATTCCAGGGGGAAATGCCAATATTTAAATGCTACAAAGCCCGTGGAGGTGCTCAGAGCCCCTCCTGGCCCTTCCTGTGGGGCAGGGCAGCTCCTGAGGGGCACTTACAGAAGACACTGGGTCTGTGGCAGCGAACCCGGCCCGTGCCAGGGCAGTAGGAGGGAGGGGGGCTCTCCAGAGGCTTCCCAAAGTGGCAGTAGGGTGGCAGCAGGGCAGGGATCCACTCGGGCTCCACTGCAGACACACCTGAGGAGGAGAGAAAACACACCTGGATGCAGGTTTGCTGCCAAGGGCCACAGCTCACTGGCAGCCCCGGGGGTACAGGGCACGGTCAGGGTCTCATCTCCACAGATTTACTTGTCCCTCATTTTTTTCAGACTTTTTAGGTTGTAAAAATCTGTTCAGAGATCAGCAGCAGGCAGCTGTGGTTGGCAGGGCTGGGGCAAAGGAGCTATTTCAGCAGCTGAGCTTTGCTCCAGCCAATTCTGCCAGATAAATTAAAAAAAAGGCCAATTTATCTCCTGATCCAGATCTAGGAAGCCTTAAGGATCCAAATCCCAGCAGTCACAACCACTCAGAAAGGCCAGCACAGGGGGAAACACTGCCAAGGCACTTGTGAGCTCCTCACCTTTCATGTACAGCTTTGAAGTCTCAACAATCTCTTGATACACCACAAACTCTGGGAGCTCTTTGAACAGGACTGAGCTGGGGTGGATGAACACTGGGTCCTCCAGGAGTGCAGTCTGGAAGGAGGCACAGAGATTGAAGCAGTTACTGACAATCCAATTTCCTCACTGCACCTCATTTCAGTCTCTCTCAGAGGTACATTTTTAAGCTTTCCTGAAATTATGGAGATTTTTAATAACCCCATCATTTTCTGCTTCACCTTCTCTGGAGACACCAAGCATTCACAAGATGAACTAATGGTACTTCTTACCTCTTTTACAACATTTCCTACCTGAACACCAGGAAATGGCAACACTGCAAACTTCAGTTCCAGAGAGAGAAGTTGCAGGAAGGCAGCCCAGGCATCCTCAGTGCTGCAGCCAGCCAGAAGCCTGGCTTTGCACAGCAGCACCTTTCTGCCACGCAGGGCAGCAGGAACTGTGCCCACCCACGCTGCTCACCTTGTAGGCATTTTTCCACTTGTCATCCAGCAGCTCCTCTGCCTGAACCCTCCGGGCAAGGTGATCCCCCAGCCCGGCCAGCACAATCTGCCTCAGGTAGGTGACCTGAGCTTCTGTTGGGGGCTTCATCTTGGGGTCAACGTAGAGCCCAGCATCCCTGCAGACCGAGTTCACTGCGGGGAAACCAGGGCGGGGAGGATGCAGCAGGACAGGAACCAGCTCTGTGGGGGTGTGCCAGCCCCAGCAGAGAGCC